TATTAGTGGGAAGCCAATCCTTTTCAGAACTGTGGCATACCGGAGAAGGAGATTTGCAGAAGTTGCCCTGATGCTGCTTGCTAGTAATATTTGTTCTCTCCACAGAGCCTCCTCTTCTAAGGCTGTGGAGCATTCATCCTTTACAAAATCCAAACTTCAAGGGGAAGTTTCTTTCTGCATCATGCCTGCAGTAATTGTTTGTGATTTTCACCCGTCTGTGACATTGTCTGTCTGCCCAACAGGCCTCCTTGTCTCGAGATATTTCCTGACATACTCATGATGCTTCCAAAACAATTTAAAGCTTTCAGTCCTAGCTAAACCTTTGCAAACCAATTGAAGAAACCTTTCTGGACACCAGAGCTTCAAATACAGGAACAAGACATGTTGAAGACAGTGTTCTGAGTACAGTGTTCGAGTTAGCTCTGCTGCTGATACTTCCATCTCTGGCAAGAAACATTCTTCTGGTTATAACATCTTTTTTGATTAGAGGCCTCTACTGGGGCCTTTAAGAGTTGGTGCAAGGCTCTTCAAGACCTCTGCAGAAGACCTCACAGAAGCTGTCCAGAAAGACAACACTTGTTATAGTTAAAGTTTGTTACCTTTGTAATGTGAGGGAAGAAGGAAGAGAAGCCTTGAGTTAGGGTGGTACTGCAGTGTCTGGTGTACCTTATTTCTGAAGCTGGAGAAGTGCTGCTCTGCTGTGTTGAGCCTGAGTGTGCATGCAGAAATGCAGACAAAATTATTTTGACAATGTGTTCACTCCTTGTCCCTGCTGAATGCCTGTTTGTCCTGTATAAATGGATTTCAGGATCAGCCAACCTCCAGCTCTGAATTAGTCTAATAAGGCATGGTACGTAGGGTTTAAAGGTCATTTCACAAGCAGCTGGCTTCCTGCATATATTAGGGGGAATGATTTTTTAAATAATGGTATTGGAAAGCTGTTGATTTAACTTTTAAAATACCTGTATGCTATGAAATTTCATCTCTTCTGCCTCTGTCCTTCAAGCACTCTGCTTGCCCTCTGCCTGCTTATCTTTCTGTCATTTCTGATTACCTCTGCCCATCTGCCTCTGCATTCTCTCCCCTTGGGTTTATCAGTCCACGTTTGCTGCCCACAAGGACTTGGCTTATATTTCTGAGGAGCTCATCTCTTGGATTACTTTACTGAGCTGTGGAACAGAAAGCTCAGGGTTTCTTGGTTTGGGCTGTTAAAGCACTATTACGCTGTTCTTTTTTGGGGGGACTGGGAGGTCTCAACAATCGCCACTACATTGGCAGCATTTTTTGTGTCCCAGCTGGTACCTAGTTCCCTCAGAATTAATTTAACATTGGTGAAAAAAGATTATAATTTTGGTGTTTTTTTTAACTCCTGAACTGGTTGAATTGTGCATATTGATTATTCCAGTTTCCTCTCTGTGGGGTGTTTACTTCAACCCCAACCTGATCCAAGTGTTTCATATGAAAATGGAGGATGTTTTTATTAATTTGCTTTTTCCCTGGATTCCTCTTTGAGTTTGCCAATGAGGATGATTTGAAATGTTCTAATGACTCGTAAAGTATGGACACTGCATTAAAAACTGAAGGGAGCACCCACATGTCCAGGTCATGCAAGCCTTTGGCAGATGGCAGTGTCCTGCCAGGTAGGAGATGGTACCTTCTCATTACAGTTGCTTGTACCTGTACAGATTCCTGGATCTTCAGATGTTCTTTCTGCTTGTTTGAAGTTTTGTTCACAATACAAATCCTCAGGAAATCAGATAACTGGACAAAAAGCAAGCTTAAAATTTAGGGAGATGATAGCAGCTGCAGCATTTTTTCTTCCTGCATTCAGACCAAAATGCTGTGAAACTTTTACATTTGTCTTGTTTTCTGAAGGATGTTTCCTACTCATGACTTGCAGTTGTTCTGAGTTTATTCTCTTTTTAGTACCATGCAGTGCCCTGACGCAGCTACTGAAGCAGTTCAGTTTTTGTCTAGGACACACCTTTCTTCTTTAGATGTTAAATTAAAAGCACCTCCTTTCTGTTCTTGAAGTTTTTTCTCTGTAGCACTCTCCTGACTACTGTGGAAATAGGGGAGTGATACAGGACTGAATTGATTTGTGGGTTCTCTCTGGCTGCCTGTAAGGGCTCAGACAAGCAGTGCCCAAGTATGTGATGGGCCCCTGCTCAGCTGCTGTTTAAAAAAACCTCTTAACATTAGAGACTTTTTGCTGATAGAACTGTGAACCTTGCAATTTAGAATAGTATATTGGCATAATATTAAAAAAAAATAAACCAAGTTTCTAAATATCAAAGAATTGAGGTTTTTATATTCTGTGTGATGCAGTAGGGTAAATAATAATACACTGTGTTTCAGTTACCTGCTTGATAGCTTTATAAAATAAGTTCTTTGTCAGAATAGGAGAGTTTCTGGTTATAGATACAATATAGAGTCTTGTTGATCTCTCCAAAAGATTTGAAAAGGAGATTGAATTACTATTTGTTTGTCCCATTTCAATGCCATCTTAATTCCATGTTTGAGAACTTCTGCTGATTACTTTTCATGGGTGGAAGAATGAAGGAAATGTATCTTTCTTTTGAGGCACTGACTGCAGCTAAACACAGTGTGCTGGGAAGTTATATGGATACTTCTAATGATCCTGTGGGTGTTCTGACCCTGTCTCTTCATGGATTCAGGTGACTTTGAACACAAGAGTTTCCCTCAGGCCATATCAGCAGGAACTATTGAAAACTTTTGTTCTTCAGTGGTGCTAACTGTGGCCTGCTTAGGATTACCATCATTTAACAAGCTCTGTAGTATTTCAGGGCCCCTGGGGTGTTGTCAGTACTGTTCCTGTGGCACATCAAGGTTGTATTTTATCTTTTGGTACCGAGCCTCAGTGTATTTAGGAGTATTCTGAGGCTCAGGAAATCTTCTCAAATCTTGTAAAAGTAGACAGCCACTGAAAAATGTATTGGATGCTGTGATCCAGGTAGGAGTGTCCCTTGCTGTGTGCACCTTGAGCTGACACAATGAAGGCAGTGTGCCAGAGCTGGAGTGCACTAGAGGAATTTTTGTGGAGACCTTGTATGGCACCAGTGATCCCTGTATTCTGCAAAAGCCAACCTTAAAGCTCTACAGCTTGTATAGATTCCAGATTGACCTCTGGAGCAGAAGCAGGTTCATTGCTGAAGATAGACTGGGTGTAATGTTCTAATGCAGCTCCCGCTTCCCAGTCTTTATCAAACGTCTTGAGGCACATGGGCTGCCACTTGCTTCAAAAACAACAAGCATTTTGGAAGCCATTAAAAGTGAAAGTCATGCTTTGTTCTTGCAGCTGCTGATGGGTGGCTTGTGTGCACACAAAGCTATGTTGTGAACTTGAGACAACAGAATGCTCTCAAGTTCCTTGTTTAATCCAGTATCAGATGAGTGCTGGCTGGGAAGGAGCCCAACACAGCCCAGGCTGTGAGACACTTCTTAGTGCCTTCTTGTTTTGTGGAGCCTTGACATTTGCTACAATAGAACCCCATAAAACACAGGAAAGTCTCTCCTATCAGATGAGTGTATTAACAGGCTTCTTGCACTGATGGATTAGAGCCAGACTGTGTTCAGTAAACGTGGCTAAATAATAAAAGGTGAGATTGTGTGCAGTGATCCCAGGTCTCCTTTCTCCAGCTGCAGCCTCCTGTCTGTTTGCTGGGAACCTTTGCACAGGCAAACGGCTTTGCTTGAGAGAGCAGGCTGTGCACTGTTTTCTGACACAGCCAAAGGTGGCTGACACAAAGCCAAAGGAGAGCTTCTCTCTGAGGGACTGAAATGTTAACAAAGATGTTGTGCTGCCTTGCAGAGCCCTGACTTGCTTTGTATAAAAACTGAACAGATGTTGGTAGGAGCTTTGCCATATACAGAGCAGACCCTGGAGAGCAGGGCAGAGCCTGCTCAGGTGACGTGAGTGACACTGTCCTGGGTTCAGTGTGCCAGCACTCCTCCTGAATGTGGGGCTCCCTCCAAGCCATGTCTGGAGCTTTACCCTGCTCAAGGAAGTGGGACTCATGTAGCCATGTTGTACATCCATGAGCCTGGTTTATGTCCCACTCTGCTTACTCTAAACCTGCTGGTGAGTTGCAGTGGTGTTCCTCAGAAGCACAAGGGCTCTGAAGTAATAAGTTCCTGTATACCTTGTGAAAACAGGCAATTAGGTGGAGGGAAGGGACCCCAGTGGTGCTTGTGCAGGGGGAAAGGATATTGACTCACTCTTTATTAGAGGTGAGTTTGGTCACAGAGAAACTTAACTTAGACACATGAATCTGGAGAAATCCAAATGGCTGCTCATGAACAACCTATTTCTGCTTGAAGACTCTGGCTTGCCTGAATGTTTGAGGGGTTAACTTCTGCCTACCATTGTGATCACCTTCATTGGAGAGACTCACTGCAGCAACTGAGAAGATTGTCCTTTGGAATATGCTGTGTCTGTCTTAGTATTGATTTCCTTTTTTGCTTTTGAGAAATGGCAACAAAGTCCTTGTTGCAAGAAAGGGCTACAGAAAGCTTTCAAAAGTTTATAGCTTGATCCTCTAAGGCCTGTTCTGTTATTTTAGGGTGAGATAAAAGAGTATTAGGTGTGAGCAGCCTGGAAAAAGAAAAGGGTTTGTGGATTTAAGGTAGCCTGTGGCCTTGCTTCCTGCACCAGTTGTTGTGTTGTTCAAGCAAATGTTTCATGCTTGGAAAATTTGAGCTCTGGGGATCAGAGCAACTGCAGATCCTTGCTAGCCTCAGCACTTTGTGCTGCTGATGAGCAGGCAGTTGTCAGTTCCTCAGTAGCTTGCTTTTGCTGCTTTTTGTTGAGGCAGGACAGCAGCTGAGATGAGGGAAGAGGAAACGTCACAGTGTTGTGGTCCTGTGTCCAAGGACTGGTGTGACAGGCAACTGTGTGTGAATGGAACAGCCTAAGGTCTGCCAGCTCACTGATGTGAGTGCTCATTGTGGTTGTTGGTTGTGACATGGCTGTGCTGTCACAGCTCGTTCAGAGCTTGCTCACAGGGTCAATGACTTTTGACTGGGTTTTTTCCAGTCCCCACTGGTCATCCTTGTCCATCTATTATTAAGCCTGCTTTGGCATGGCTGGCAGGAGCTTATTCCAAATCCTGATGGAAGAAAGGTGCAGTAGTTGTGGAGCATGGCGGAGCAGGTGTCAGCAGGTCTGCAGGTGGGCTTTGGACGGGATAGCAGGGGTTCATATTTATAAAGTTTTCATAGGCCCCTCGAGTACAGTGATAGGCTTTGAAGCGTGGTTTCCTCTGAGCTCTGCTTCCCCACAAAAATCTTCAAGCATGATCCATCAAGGAGTGTGAAATATATTCAAAATCCCACTGCTGCCTTTTTCTCAGTCAGCAGGGTTGTGCTTTCTTCTCTGGTCTGGAGTTGTTTGCTGTTGAGAATAAGCAGTCTCTTTTCTTGTGATTCCTTACCTCTCTTTGGGACATGATGCCATCAAGAAAACCAGCTGTTCCAATCTGAGAGCTGCCTCTGCCTTCATGCTCTCTTGTTGATTGTGTTGAATCAATGAAGTGCTGCAATACTGTAGAGAAAAGGGGGGGTGTGAAGAAATGAAGAGGGAGATCACACAGAAGGAATATACAGAAGAGGATTCATATCCTGTCACATGGTTCACAGTGGCTGTGTCTGGAACTAGATCTGCTATAATAACAGAAATTCCCTCATGAAAACTTGAGTCCCAAGTCCAAATTCTTGCCTCACTAAGTTGTGGGATCTGAGAGCTCCCACATGGAGAAGGGAGCTAGCTAATCTCAGCATCTGGGGAGACCTGACAAGTCCTGATTGTTCCTGCAGAGAAGGTGGTGGCTTTGGTAAGTGTTACAGGAAAAAATATTTAAAGGGAAGAAGTAAGGGAGATAATTTCTGAATGCCAGCTGTAGCAGAAGGATAAGGTTCAAAATATTCCCCTTGAAAATCCTGCCAATTGCAATTTTGACTCCCTTCAACTCTTGAACCACTGTCTCAAACCTTTGTCAATACAGACTTTTCCTGTGAAGCTCAGCTTTGATGGCATCCCTGTTCAGCCAAGAAAACTGCCACGTTCTGCTTTGACTTTGGTTCCAGCTGTTCAGTGCAAAAAGCTTTCATTGCTGCTATGAAAAGCTTTTCTTAAGGGACAACATAAAGCAGGGATGTTGTGGTGCTTGAAGGCTGAAGTAGGCACCTTCCCTTGAGAAGAGTCTTCTAAAGCACAGATGTCTGGTACACTGTCATGTGGATAAAAGGTTATAAGGATTATGTGTTAATCTGTAGCTGTTAATCCTCCCAGCAGGTTGGGATCCAACTGATGTTTGGACCCACCAGCCAGGTATGCAAGAGAATTTCTTCAGTGTCTGTGAACTGCTCCATAAGCCTCTAGGCTGTAACTGTTCATCTAGGTCCTGTCTTGTGATCCTTGGTTTTTGCTTTGCTCTCTCTGTTGGTGCTTTCCTTGGCTGCATCAATTTTGATTTGTGCGTACCATGGTACCTGGTCCATCCTGACAGCAGGATGGTAGGCTTACACCATACTGTGTGTTTCACCTCAGGCAAGGCTTGTGTTCTTCTTGATAATTGCTTCAGAATCAGCAGTTGGAAGCATTTCTTGATCTTGGCACGAATTTCTCAAGTACCACTGAAATTCCAATGAGTTTCTGGAAGTGCACGTTGTAGAGCTGTAAGAACTTGCCCTCTTGATTCTTGACTTGGCATTTCTTATTTGCAAATTTACATCTAGATATGCACTTGATTATCTGTTTGGGGTTTTTTTCAATAGACCAACGATATCTTTTTATGGTTTTTAAACCTGTTTCCCTGAGGTTGCTGCTTGGAATCCTTCTCTTAAGCTTAAAAATACTAGCAATTGCCAACCCTCTTGTGCAAGATGTGGAAACATGAAGGCTCAGGAATCCCCATTTTTTCTCACTGGCACCAGAATCAAGTGCTGTATAGCACTTCCAAGTTATTTTATCCATTATATTTTTGATTTGGTTGATTTTTTTTGTGGTGTGCTGAATTCCAAGTTGTTGCAGTGCCATGCTGGCACTGAGGTTGGTCCCTATGAGGTCAGGAGAGTGCATAGCAAATATTCAAGCTAGAAGCAAGGCAAATTGTTCTAAAACTCTTCTGTGATGTTCTGTGATTAAAACTCAGACTGTGGGTATTTTACATATATTTATGTGTGGCTCACTTATCTCCTCCTCACCACTTAGCACGAACAGTTCTGGCCATGTGTAGGTTTTTTCTTGTAGTCTGAACAAGTAAGCTAGAGATACGCTATTGCCTGAGTTTGCTGCCTCCTCTTCCTCCTCCTTCCTTCTCTTTTACCTATTTCTAGTCTGAGCTCAGATTTTTCCTTTCCCCTCTGTCTTCATTTTTTCACCTGCTTCCTTCCAGTGTCTCTGCACCTTCTCCCTCCCTCCTCTCCTCTCTCTGTCCCCTTCGTTTGCATTCCTTTCATTTCAAAACCTATATCGGAGCTGACACCAGGCTGCCTATTCCCTGCAGCACTGAACTGGCGGTTTGGAAGGAGGAGGCTGCAATTCCCTCAAGGGGCAAGACAGAGTTCAGTGTCTGTCTTATTTTTAAATATGCATCTGAACATGGCTGATCAGAGGAGCAAAAGAAATCTTCGGGTTCTGAGTGCTGGAAGCTCATAAGGACATAGTGCAATCCTCTGCATCTCCCTGCTCCTCCCGCACTCCTCACTGAACATGAAAGCTGCTTGGCACAGGGGACTTTGACTGCAGAAAAGATGGGTAAGAATCAGAGACCCCATGGAAGAAGGGTAGAAAGGGTGGGTGTTTTGCAAGCCTCATACCTTCTTTCTCTACCTCAAGTTCTTTTCATTTTGTCAGAATGTCTTCAGTTCTTTTCATTCTTTGAACCCTGAAAAACCCCAGAGTACATTACTCAGCTATGCAGCAGCTTTGCAGAATGCTGTTTAACCTTGGGCAAGTAACAGACTGAAGACTGGTCATCATGCTGGCACAGTGAAGGGACAAGCTGAGGTATTCCAGTTCTATGTTCTTACCACAACCAGTGCCATGACAAGGTACCAGAGATGGATCTGCAGGTTTCCCAGTGGGATTAGGAGCTCTGCTAGGGCAGGTTTTGTACCCAGCTGGTGAACTTCCTAAATGATTTTGCTGTGCAGCTCTAGCTGCTGGCATCTGTTCAGGCAGCACAGTGACGAAGTCACCTAAAGGGCAAAAAAAAGCAGGTGCTTACTGGTCCATCAGCTCCTGCCAGCAGATTAGGATCAGAAGTGAAGGAGAGCATATTGAATTAAAGCTATAATCATAATTTCAGTTTAGACAAAATGTATGGAGCTTGGCAGAATACCAGGGCCCTGACTCTTGTAAAAATGTGTCACAGGTTCCTTTGGGACCATAGGAAGATCAAGACCTTTATTGAAAACCTTCTGTCAGCTGTGTTACTTTCTGGGGCACAGGCTACTTTGGTTTGGCATAGACACAGCTACTCCTTTCTGCTACATGTTGGACGCTTCTGATCCTGAAAGTGGTCAAACCTGGTGTAAGTAGCTAAGGGTTCAAGGTAATTGCAGCAAGTTGTATAGGGGAGGTTGCAGGCTCATTGCCTTCATGTTTTCTTTTAGTATCCTTGCCTAATGAGCAGCCTAATCCATCAGAGGAGACACCTGACAGCATCAGGACTTAATACCAGATGATTGTCAACTGAAGTATGTTGATGGTGTTCAGGTAGACTGGAGTAGGCTCTACTCTGAAGAGAAAAGGATGAGGAGGCTATATCTTAGACCTTCAGAAATGCCCAAATTGTCCTGGAAAAACTGCTTTTGACTGGAGAAAAAGTCTTCTTGCAGGAGGATCTCAGTGTTCATGCTGTCTAATTTATTTCTTTAGAAGTAAAAGATAGAAAGAAAAAAGTAAGAGTTAAGACTTTCCAATTGCAGACTGGTGAAATGGTATGTGTGAAAGGTAGAAGAGTTGACTACTGGGGTGGATGGATTTGGCCTTCTGTTCTGATTCTGCCTTTTTTGCCAAAGGATCCATGTTTTTGGACTCTGATGAGGTGTGTTCAGTTGCTGTCCTTTTAACATTTTGCACGGTGTTTATGTGGAAGAGTTGTGCATTTGCAGTGGGTGAGGAATGGAAACAAGAGCTGGCACTGTACAGCCGATTTCTTCTCTACAGTGTTGCATATTCAGTTGTCAATTTTTCTCTACTTGCTGAAAGTTTTTGATTTCTTCTTTTAAAATAGCTAGTAGAGAGAAAGGATCCATTGCCTACAGGGATAGCTGGAGCCAAGTGGCAGATAAACCTTCCCTGGCTGTGTTCTTTCAGCTCCTCCCTGCCCTGGAGATGTCTCTGCTGTAGTTGTGGGTTCCCTGGATGTGTCTCTCTGTGTACCCAGTCCTGATGAGCAGCACTGTGTACACTGTGGCTGACACACTGCAGTCCTGACTGGCATTATTCTTCCAGTTAGACCTTTCTTGAATAGCAAAGCTACTTGTTACAGACTGTCTTTTTTACCTGAAAATTCACATATCACCACATTTGTGCCAGAGCAAGGTTATGTATCTGGGGGAGCCCTAGATAACAGCAGTTAAACTACCTTAACTGGTGCCTCTGGTTGCACCATTTGCTGGAGTCATTGGGGCTGGAAGTATTCCTTGGGAAAGGAAACAAACTGCTACAACAATTCCAGCATGCTCTTGTGACCTTGCTTTTGCTACAGTGGGGAACAGACTGGGTTTTTTTCCAAAAAAACAGTAGAAGGAATATGCCCAAAGTCACTTTCTTGTGTAACTTAAAGTATTCAGGATTTTACCCTAGGTCCCTCAAGGTAAAAGGCTGCTGTGTTAACCTCAGCTCTTCATCTCTTGCCAAGCCTGGAAATCCGGGTTCTTAAGAGGAGCTGTTACTTATATGACCTTCATGCATGAAGCAGTTTCTCTTTTAAAATGTGTTTTCCCCTTTATCAGTTATTCATTGAAGAGTCTCTTTGCATCTGTAGAATTTTGAAGGGTAGCTATTATTTTACCATTTTAATTTTCCCAGCTGTTCAAATAATTGTTTTAACCTCTCAGTGCCTGGAAGTGCTTTTCACATCCTGATTGCTTTGTATTGTATTTCTTTGGTTTCATGGTTTAAATTACCAACTGTTTTCTCCCTATTCCAAATGGTTACTCTGTGGCTATCTTCTCTATAGGTTTAAAGTCTGCACTGTTCTGAGCACCACTGACAGCAAGGCACTTTGGAATGTCCACACTGGGATACCGGGCTCTCACATCCTGGTTTGGGGTATTTTTTGTTGCTCTCCACACACACACACACACATACATGCACCCCCTGCAAAAAAAGAGAACTTCAGTACTTAAGGATCCCATTAAAACCAGAACAAACTGGTTATTCTGAAAGGTCTTGCCAGTGGCCTCTCTGGAGTTGCATTTCACTGTATATAGGGAAGGGGCTCTGACAGAGACAACGAAACCAGCACAGAATACATTGTCTCCATGCAGTTTTACAGGGAGTAAAGTCAAAGTATTTAATTTGACAGTGGTTTCTCTAGCCCTGACACAAGGCTGTGATGGCTGAGGACAAGGCAAAGCTTCCTGCTGGTCTGCCAGAGGATGTGGCTCATTGAGCTGAGCACTCAGTTCCAGGTGGTGTTCCCAGCCCAGAGTGATGCTTGAAGGAGGAGGGACACATCTTCTGTCCCTCCTGGGGCAGAACACTTCCTTGTGGGAGTACCTCCAGACCAGCAGCATCCCATTTCAAAGCTTCCCTTCTCTTTTTGATATTTTTATTTTTGTTTTTATTTTTTATTTCAATGAGTGTTGCTCCTCTTGAGTATGTCTTTAATAGCCTTGCCATAGGGACAGAGGTAAAATTTGAAAATAAATAATTACACTGTGATACTCTGGACATATTGCTGTAGTTTCTCTTACGTGTTCTTCTCACGTGTTCTGAAAGTTGCAAAAGGTGATTTATAATTCATCAAACTAAGCATAAAACATCTGACTGCAAAGCCTATCAATTTGATCCCATCTCTTTCCAGCCCTTTAATTAGGGAAGCCTTGCTGAAAAATGTACCCATCAGCTACTGAGAAATAGTGCATTCCTGGACCCTCAGTATAGATCTTGAGTTATCCAGGTGCCAAAATGCTGTCAGAACTGACAGATCTTAGAAAATACACCCACAGGCAGAACATTATCCATTACACCAGCACTGAGCAGTGGGCAGTAAGGAAAAATCAGCAGAGAATGTGTCTTTATCAACTTTAATTGGCTTTTCCCATTGCTAAAAATCAGTGTATCCAGCAAGGAAGAGAACCTATCTAGCAGTTTGATTTTTTCATCCCAGAGCTGAAGGGTGCAGTCCATCTTCACTGACGTGTGATGTGGACTTGTCTCAGCACAGCTCCTGGCAGTGCAGTGGAGTCCACAGCCCACAGAGAAGGCTGCCAGTCTGTCCTCGGTGAGTGACCATGCTTAAACAAGCGTGGAGAATGAATTACTGTGGATAAGTTGGATTTCATCTGTGCTCCAGTTGCTCAAAATTTGCTTCAGACAGAGCCAAACTTAGTTAAAGTTTTCTTTGGGTGCTGGCTGCTAACTGCTCCTGGAATACAACTGGCTGGGGTGTGGAATCAAGGATCTGGGCAATGGATATGCTGATCAGAAAGGAGACAACAGCCAAAGGAAGCAGGAACTTTGCCAGAGCTACAGGAAATGCAGAGATTTGAGGGATAGAACAAGCTTCTTTTGAGTTGTTTGGCACTGCAGGTTTACATGCAGCTTTACATCAAAGGCAAAGGAAACAGCAACTGTGTGGATTCTCTTGGGAAGGCTGTTTTGACACCTTGTTGCAGCATCTTACATTTACTGAACTATGTAAAATGTTTCAATTCTTCTTTGGTACTTGTGTCTGCTGCCATTAGATTTGTGACAGTTTTATTAAATAATATTGTCAAGATCATTGCAAATTGTTATTATACTGTGTTTTTTCCTAACTGATTAATGAAAACTACTGATTTCTTTATTTGTAATGTATCGCTTCTCTTGCTAAATTCCACAGAATTTCTGAGAGCACCTTTATTTTAACTTTCTTTTCAGCTAAGTCAAGCTCCTCTATCTCATTTCTATAAATACTAGAGAAGAGAAGTATGTTCACTAACAAAAGACAATTTAGTAAGTGAACTTACTAATTAGAATTAGAAAATTACTAATTATTAATTAGAAAAGTTACTTTTTCACAGTCCTTGGTGGTCTTAAAAACAAACTGTAAGACTGTCACAGGTTTGCAATCATATAAATATGAGTTTAACCCTTGTGTTTAATAAAACTTTGAAAAAACCAAACTGTAAAGGTTTGTTGTTAAGGCAAGTGAAGGAGCAGTCCTTTATCCAAAGACCGCTCCGTAGGGAACCGTGCTGCCGTTGGCACAGATCGCTGCGGTCGTTTGGAACGGATCTGCTGAGCTGTGGCAGACCAAATCAGTGTTCTGGAAACTCTTGTCACCTCATTGAGTGGACAGTGTTGAGAAGTGAGGGTGCAGCAATGGGGCAGGGGATGTACCAGGGCTCTTTGCTCTGGCTGCAGTGTGAGCCTCCCAGTCATGAGCAGCCTCTGCCCTTGCTGGCGTTGGTGCAGGGCTGGGCACAGTAAGTTCCCTCTCAGGATAAGCTCTGGAGCCTGAACTATACAAGCTGTAAGAATATGATGGACATTATGAAAAAATAAGTGTTGATTTTGTGGGGTTTTTTTTAATTTTTTACTCCTGCTTATCATATGGCCATGAAATACACAGCAACTTCTTGTGTTTGGAAGGTTTCTTTAGAAATTTGAAGCAAGTGGGAGGAAGGGATAACAAAGTCTATTCTGTTCCTCTAATTCAATCTCGCTATTTACAAGCCCAGCTCATCAAGTATGTTGTCACTGTTCTTTGCAGCAAGAGGAAGACTGAAGCCTTAGAACACTCCTGGAGAATATCTACAAATCCATGTGAATAGCCTAAAACATCATATTTCGTGTGGTTTCCATGGATGCCGACCATGCTGCAGTTAGGGCAGTTCTGGTGTGTTGCTCCAAATGGCACAGCAATTTTACCAGGATGCAGTATTCTTGCCTGCTGGCCCTAGGCTCTGGTGGTGCTGTCTGCTGTTAAATAGCTGTCTTGTGCCTGTGTGAAAGAAGGGACTCCTGCATGTGCAGCTTGAGGAGGTGGTAAAGAGTTGTAAGTTTTATTATGTACTATAAAATAGTAATTCCTGATGAAATGAAACATGAAGCATAAAAAGATTAGGATTTTGACATCTTGTTTTGAGATGGTAAAATGCTTCTTTAGTGGCCTTGAGTTACTAAAGGTGTTGCCATCCTAGATTCTCAGTTTGCCAATACACAGTGTAAATGTGGATGGACAGTGCCTGGCTCTGGCTCTGTGTCAATCATCCCCTAAATGCCTGTTGGCACCTGAATGACCAGCTCCTCCTGTTTAAAAGCAAGGCTGTGTGATTCTTCTATTTTTCTAAGCCATTTGCTCTCTTTAATTGAGCACTGGGAGCCATTGTGTGCGTGGTGTTGCAGGATCCTTGTCGTGTAAGGGCATTGATAAATATGTATTGTGTTGTCAAGTGTTTGTAGCTACTCTGCAGGTAGTGGTGGAGGAGTGAGCTGCATACAGTTAAGAGTCCTTGTGTCTCCGGGGTCAATAAAAACAAGATGGCACGGGGAATTGTGGGAAATGGAGCCAGGATAGCTGCCTTCAGCATCACCTGCTAATAAACCAGCTATTTATAGATCAGCTGAGGCTTTGTCAACTAGATTGTTAAATTAGTATTTACATACTGGCCTCATTGTCTTTCACAGAAAATGTCATTTGCATTAGTGCTTGGACATAAGTGCAGCTTCCTGTGCTCCAGATACATGAGTGTGTTTGGTCACAGTCCGTGGCTTGCAGTGTGTGTGTGAAACTATTCCTGATAGATTCTTGCCTTGCAAATAAATCCTCTTCTCCCTGTAGCATCATTTTCCCATCTTTCTGTGCCTCTCATTTCTTGCAGAAGGCTCACCTTTGTTCCCAAATGTCCGCAACTCATCATGAGGCTGATCTCACTAGAGAGAGAGATGAGCAGCATTTCTGCATAGCAATTCCTAGTTAATCTCTGCCTCTCAGAGAGAGACTTGAATTGTTGATGGCTTGTGGGTAATTTAATAACTAGCAAACAAATAAGATGTGTAGATTGTAGCAACTTAGCCCAGATGCAAAATCCCCACACCTCTTTGCAGCTGTTTGAAGGAACTCTGTTATAAAGGTTTGCTTTTTTACATTTTAGCAGCGGTGAAACAGCGTGGGGAAGAGTTGCTGCTCAGTGAAGCTGTGTTGATCACAGCAGGCTCCACACCTGGCTAGGCAGTTTCAATCCCCTGTGCGTGTGTGTCTGTGCCTTTCAAAAGGGGAGAGTAATCTACTTGCTAGACGTGTGTCTCTCGTAGTCCTTGGACAACCTTGAACAGTCATTTAACTTGTGTTTATTTGCCCATCTCTACCTGGGCAGATATTACTTCTGTGGTTTGGAGTGTGGAGGTTGAATGGATGTCTCGGATTCGTTATGGATGAAAAGTGTTACTGAAATGTAAGGTATTCATACTGTCTCTTCAGACAGCTGATCAGAGTTCAGATTCACCTTCCTGTCTTGCTGCTTCTTGCTTCAAAGCCATTTGGACACTTGGATTGTGCGGGAAGTTGGAAGGCAGTAATAGCAGGGCTGTGATGCAGACAGGTGTCACAGCCTTCGCTCAGATTCACTTCTTAGCACTCGCGGGGATGTTGATAAGGTGCTGTTATGCTGGTATTGTGTTATTCTTAATCTGTCTTTGGCCTGCAAAGGGTCCATCAGCATCAGTTTCTCTGACACCTCGGCAGGCTCTCTGGGCACCTCATTACTCTTTTCAGGAAGAGAGCATTGCAATCCCATTTCTGCGTCCACAGAGAGCAGAGCTCACCTGCCTGTGCCAGCCCAGTTTACTGTAAGGTGAGAGCTCAGAATGAGCCTTGCACTTTCTCTCACCAGGTACATGAAGCACATAATACCACAACAATAATGCAATATTTCCTGAAACCGTGCACCTTTTATTTATTTTGTTTAAGACAGCAAAGCCTTGGTTTCTTCCCCTTCAAATTCTCTCTTCTCTTGGCCCACAGGAGAGGGAGTGGGACAAGCCAACTGTGGCCATAGGTTTGGGAAACCTGGAGTTGGTTCCTTGGTGCATCAATTCCAGTGACTTGGCTGTGCTCATTTCACCACTACCTCTTCCATTTTAACTTTAATCCTTGCTGAAGGCAGCACCTGATTCTTACATTTTCCCATCTACCAGGTTTTTTTTTCTGCCTTCTGCTGCTATTCAGAAGAGGAGGGGGTTGGGATGTGGTATTCTGCAAAATGTCAAGGTCTCTTCCTGGAGAGCTGACAGTATAGGTGTTTTATATGTACATGGGCTATCAGGATGAGACATTCCTACTCAGAAACATTGGCTGAGACAGACAGACATTCCTCCTGCCACAGAGAGACAGGCAGGCTCACTGTTGCCAAGCCTTGAAATATTTGGCACATTTTCTATTGCCCTAGTTTTGTGGAGTTGTACCTAAGTTTTATAAGTACATAAGAATTTTAGTTCTGTGTTTTTATTGAAAAAAAGAAAAAGGAAGGAATAAATAAAATACAATAAACTAACCCTCCCACTTAGACAGAATTGGTGTGAGAATGTGAGTCAATTGCTTAAAACCAGAAGATAAATGAAATAACCCTAGTGTATTTCAAAATGGTTTTGCAAGTAAACCTTGCGGTTTTGTGGGATATTCTGACTTTCCTCTTAGCTTTTCAGCATGTGAGGAGTCTGCAACAGGGCTTGTTTTCTTGAGTGAAGGGGTATTTTCAGCTCTCTAAGAGTTCACACATCTGCAGTGTCCCCTGCAAGCAATAATGAGCTGACCAAAACAATCAGTCTCCCTGAATTAGAAGAGCCCTGCATTTTTCAAATTTTCTTTGCATTCTAATTTGTGCTTTTCAGTTGTTCCAGCTTTCAAGCTTTTCTTGCAAGCAGCAGGATCTTTAATTTCAAGTGGAAGCCAAGATTTCTTGTAAAGAATATGGTTCAGGGTAGCGGTGTTTTGACATTTTCACAGTTATGTCATATATCATCACACCTCCCTATGAGCTGGCAACACCGTTTACACGGAGATGAACGTAATTATTCACAGAGGGGCCCTTTTAGAGCTTGGGACTCCCCAGCTGATCTAGAGGAGACCAACTGGCTCTGCAGGTCTGTGTGTGTCGTTCCTGGGCTCGCAGCAGGATGCAGCTGCCTGTGCACTTTCAAGTTGGTTCCATGGGCCGGCACCAAGGCACGTGCTCCTAAATCACCGATGAATTCAGAGGCACCCACTTGCACCTCTGCGTCGCCTGAGTGGAGGGACACATGCAGCCAGCCTCCCACAACAGAAAGGTTTCCAATAAAGCTGAAACACAGAGTTATTGTTTGCCCAACCGCTGGCAAATGCACAGAACCATTGTGTGGGTCCTGAAAGCCTGGGCGCTTTATTCTCTGCAGACTGAATGGCAGCCGCGGGTAATAATAACACAAGATTAAAAAAGCCAACATTATAGGGGCATTTACAACCCGCTGAGAGAATGAAATCTCAGCAAGGCTGAGCTGTGTCTCTAGTGATCCTACGTTTTTACTACTTGATAAGGAAATGATGGGCAGCTCTGGAGAAATGGCCACCACAGAGCAGACGAAGGGGGAGCAGGTTGGCTGTTCGAACGCTGCAGTAAGTAATGGAAAAGCTGTCTGCAAATCAAGTGACCCTCCTGTCCCTCCCCATGCTGGCTGAGCTGGGGGAGTGTGTGTGCAAGCACACTGCTTCCTTCCCAGGCAGGCAGCAGTGGGATCAGGATTGGTTTGTGTAGTTCAGAGCCTTGTGCTTGGGAGTCTTTGGTCAGCATCATGCAGGGTGGTGCTTTGGTAGCTGTTAGCAGGATTTACATGTGAGAATGAGACTGACTGTGGAAAAGAGATGGTGAAATTAGCTTTCTGCCTGTGGGAGCAGACACTCTTTCTGTCAACTTAAATTTGGGGAGACAATAAATACTGAGCTTCATGAATGCAAGTTCCTGTTCTAAGTCACAGTAATGAAAACTACCTTACACAATTTGAGCTCATCTGACACCATCTTGCATGTGGAATTTTAATTATTTTCAAAGCAAAAAAACCATACTCCACCAAAAAAACCTACCCAAAACCCAAAAAAACCCACCAAACACCAAAACAAAACAAAAAACCAAAACCAACCAAACAAAAAAACCAAACAAACCCCGCCCCCCCCGCCAACCCAATGATTTTTAAGGAACACCACCTTGTCTTAAAAATCAAGTCTTTAATTTGGTGCTAGTTTTAAAAATTCTCTAACACAAATGTCTTCTAAAGTTCTTTGTGTACACATAACTACCCAAACAGCTTTGTAAGACCCTCTTCCCCTGTGCACACATGGGAACTGTACTTGGTTAGTCAGAGTACCAGCCTGTAGCAAGATCCTCTCAGGATATGCCCAGGCTGCAGAATAATGATGGCAGATCAGACCAACCCTAACTTTGCTAGCCTTGAGTGTTACCAGCAGGCTAACTCTGACAGTGCTGAGCCACAGGAATTTGTACCCACCTGTTCAGACAGGCTGTGCAGCTCTCTGCTACTCAGCAGCTTTCTGAGGCAGCATCTTACAGATGTGACCTTGGTCTTTGGCATTAATGATGCAATGAGTGAAATGATGGCAGGTATTTTAAAGTAACAAAACGTGAGTTTTGCTACTTGGCTAGGCCAGGTGTGGTTTAATAACTGTACTTTTCCTTTCTAAAAACATTATTATCTGTTCAAGTCTCTTACTTTGCTTGTGCCAGGCAACATGGCATGGAAATTGCTATTACCCAGACCCTGGGTGCTGTTTCCAGTGTGGGATATTATGGGGATTCAGAAATTCAGACTGCTTCATGGATTCATTTACTTGGATTAATGAATCTGTCTCTGCCTCTGTTTCCCCAAGAGTAATGTGAAGTTACTTACGTCAGAGGGATTTATGAGCTTTTTTCTATATTGGCCATTTTGCAGAGAGTGAAATTCAGCTCAGAGGGCTCTGCAGAAGGACAAAGTATTTGAGTTTATTCTCTT